TGCTGAACCCGGAGGAGATGACCTCGAGGGACTATTACTTTGACTCCTACGCCCACTTTGGGATCCACGAGGTAAAGCATCCTGAGTGGTGGCCAAGCGGGGCAACCTCGGTTCCGCTGTGGCCGCCCCGTTTCCTTGGACAGCATCATGTGTGCAGGTCTCTGTTGTCATTAAGGGAGTTCTCCCCAACGCTCGAGGGCCCTGGCCCTGTCTCCATCCCTGGGGGACCCACAGGCGGGGGGTCAGGGCCAGACCTGGAGCAGGTGAGCAAGTGAAAACATGTGTTTGGGTGTTCCTCGGCTGAGAACCAGGGGTGCTTCCGTGGTCCTTGTTTTACGGTCCAGCACCCTCGCCTCTTCCTGACCCTGAGCCTGGGAGGTCCGGGAGGACCGGACGTCCTTGGTCCTTTGCTACAGGAGCTCGGGTGCTTTGCAGCTAGCGTCCCAAGGCCACAATGACCTTCTGGCATCATGATGTCCAGTCCTCAGTCAGGCACGAGCCCTCAGGTTCATCCTGGACCAATGAGCACTTCCAGGGAAGAATCAGCAGGCTTCCTTGGAAACCTGGCTCTGTCTGACTCCCTGATGGATTCTCAGGAAATTCTAATGTCTAAATGCTGTCTTCGTCCAGAGCAGGGAAGATTGATGTTAGCTGCAGAACAGAACAGAGCTTCCCAACTAGAGGCTTCCTGGCTGCAGCGGGGGCCACAACAGTATTTTTCCCTCCCTCCCCACCATCTCCAGCACTTTCTCACCCCAAATAAACAACTGACGTGAGCTGAGTGCTTGCTCAGGGCTGGCCACTCTTCTGAGTACATTATATGTGTCATTTCATTGATTTCCCAAGAGCTCTATGAAGAAGGGATTTCTGTTACCCCCTTACAGTGTGAAGACATCGAGAAAGGAACAAGGACTTGCTTGCTATGCAAATGCTTCTTGAAAATAAGTCTCAAAGCTCCCTTTCAATTAGATGCTTCTGTAAACCCTTCCTGTATCCAAACGGTGATGCGGCATTGCCAGAAGCGTGTTTACTAAGTAATAGGCAACAAGTTTTTGAGTGCCTGCTCCACACTAGGTATTGCTCCCAGCATTTTATGTTACTGGCTCATTTATTCCTGAGGTCAACCCTGTGAGGTTGGTAGTATTATTTGTCCCCATTTCACAGATGAGGATATAAGACCTTACGAATCTTATCAACCTTCATTCATCTTTGCTGGTTCCTTTCCGTGCAAGGTCACGAGCTGATACACGCAGAGCTAGAAATGAAACCTTCACGTTTCGGGGACCCGGGGCTTCATTTCCTAATTTCCAGGCCATACAGCCTTTCTTTCTTTCCGGAAACTTTGGCTTTGTTCCTGCTGGTCCTTTTGCAATTTCCCATGGAGGTAGAGGGTGGAGGGGTTTGGCCCCTGAGGACTTGCTCTCCCCGTCAGAGCATTAATTAGGCCTGGGGCCTGCAGGGGAGGGGCTGGGCCCTGTGTTTAGTTCTGGGGTCCTGGCCCAGGGGGGCCTGGGCAGCTGAGGCTGCAGCTTTTGGTGGCTTCCACTGGGGTGGGGATGCGATGGTGCACGGAGCCCAGTCCTAGGCCTGAGCGGTGAGAAGGTCTGGGAGGCAGGAAGGGTGCTTTCAAGAGCTTCCCTGCTCAGGACCCTGCCTCTAATTAAAGGACAGTCCTGTGTCCTTGGGCACCTGTCTCAGAGCGGTGGAAGAGACAGCAGTTCCAGGGACCCTAAAATGCCCCCCTTGGGCCTGCCTGGACCCCCATTAGGGACCCGCCGAAGGCGGTGTGCCCCTCCCATCCGCCCTCCCGTCCTCAGGCCCCAGCCCCGCAGAGCCTCCTCCCATTGATTCCTCCCACCCCTCCCTGCAATACATGTAGGCACCTAGGATGTGCCCTCCGGTGCTGTTATATCTCTATGATTCCTTCAGGACAGCGTTCCCCGGCACTCCGCACATTGTCTGATTTGTCTGGGTTTGATGAAACAGCGGCTCATCTCATCACTCAGGTGCTGCCTGGTCCCCATGAAGGCCGGGCTTCCGATCTCCACTGGGAGAAGACACCCAGGGTCACCAGATACATATAGTATGTACCGGGCTCCCTCCATTTCATGTATTGCTAGAAAGATCAGACCTGTTCCTACACATACACAAACACAGTGCAGACTGAGCTAATGAACTTGGAGTGAAGGATCTGCAGGTCACCATCTCATTTCTCTCCTTAGTAACCTGTCCGAGAATAGTCTTAGCAGAAGCCCTTCACGTTGGGAAGTATTTCTGATCACCCAGCTTAAATCCTTCTTGCTGCTGCTGGGGGCCAGGCCCAGATCCTGGCTCCTGGGGAAATGCGTAGGTCTTTAACGCTGGGGCAGCTAGCTGGCCTCCCTTCATCCCTGAGCTTCCCCTCCGGCCTGTTTGGTCTCCACGATCATCTGCTCTAAAAGGAGGTGAGGGCAGGTAGATGGCCTCCTACCGTCGTTCTCTGCAGACAGGGCCTGTTCATTTCTCGTTGTCAAACACAAGGGATCTCCTTTGCATGCCAGACGGCTCGTGGCGATGCCTTTGCTTCCACAGTCTGGACAAGACCCACGTCTCGCCATCCCATCCGGAGCCGGGCTGGCCATTTGGCAGCCTCTTCCCGTCATTAACAAGATGCTCACACGGGCGGGCAGCGGCACTGCCAGCTCGCTGATTAACAGTGATCAGTGAGTGTTTGGGAAACATGGTGCAGGCAAGAAGTGCCGAGTGGCAGGGGGACAGTACAGGGAGCTGGAGAGCACAGCAGGAGGTGCTTCTGGACACCTCTCTTCTTGCATCCCATGGCCTCTCCTGAGACGACTCCATGCTCAGCCTCCGGAGGTCAGGGGCCTGTGCATTCCGGACCAGGGCCTCTGTGAAAAGAAAGGAGTCCTGAGCAGGAGCAGATGTGACAGATGTGTCCTTGTGCACAGAAGGGAGCGGCCCAGCCCCGTGACCTCTGAGATCCTAGCTCTGAATTCTCAGCATCTTGAACAGTCGGCCTTGGACATGGGGCCTCAGCTGCCAGAAGAATCCACCCCAGTGGGGCCCTGTTCCCAGCCCCCCAACCCTGGGCGCTGAGCCCACTCCCGGCCAGCTATCTTCTTTTCACAATCTTACTGCAGGTTCTTTTTGAAATAGATTCTTCAGGGCCTCATTTCCCAGCAGTTAGTCAATGTGCTGCCATGTGTTCAGTGGGCAGCAGATAAAGTCACCCACAGCTGGGGGTGGGAATTGTTTTCACTGAAGAGTGGCATGCTCTTGGCTGAATGTCTGGAGACGTCTTTGGGCTGTTCTCCTTCAGGGGTGATTAAAGCAGGGGTACAGGAAGGGTGGGGAGAGACAGCTGTTTCTTTGAACAGGGTGAGTAGGGGAAGCCTGGCTAAGTCACAGCTTCTCCCCCGCCCCCAGAACTTGTGCCTTCGGAATGAACTCCTGTGGTCTGGAGCCTTAAAGAAGGGAAAGGGGGGCCGAAGAAGTGATGAAAGATAATGAATTAAAGGGGGGCCCTTGGGGGGATCCCTTTTAGCAGCAACAGGACCTGCAGAGTTACTGGGCCAACCTAATTCCATCAGGAAAGGCAGTGAGAACTTTGAACTACGAGTATGATTGAGAGATTTCTGAGCCTTTGTCGTTATTCTGCCTCCGTTCCTTACTCACCCTCAACAATTTCTTCACAGAGATGAAAAGGTCACAGTTTTCACAAAGAGCAAGAGCTAGCACTTTTGTAACACTAACTCCACCTATTTAGTCATCACAACAGCCCTGTGAAATAGCTGCTCTTTTTACCCCATTCTCCAGATGAAGAGATTGAGACACGGAATGCTAAATGATGTTCTGGGCTGGCCGGAGAGCTCAAAAACTTTGGAGCTATGATTCGTGTGCAGGAGTTGGGCTCTGTCGTTACAGAGAACCAATTTCACACCGTGCCCCGTGCCTGGTTCTAGGGATACCGTCTTGCAGTCTTGTGGTCTCACAGTTCTGAGGCCTTGTCCTTTTGATGTTGAGCAGTCTTGCAGCGTTTGGTTCCAGAGAGCTTCTGGAGGGAGAGGCTTGAGCTCACTTTAACCAAACCCTCACCTTATTCGGTTTCTAATATGACCAAAGATATAAGCCTTGGGGCAACACAGGAGGCAGTGCTGGGCTGAAAAGCAAACGCAAATGTTTTTAGCCCCTGTGGAGCCCCAGGCCCTGATACAGGAATTAAAGTCCCGCATCCCAACCTACTCAACTCCTAAACCTGCTCAGCCCCTGATTGGATTGAACGGACCAGCCCATCATTCTACCTGCCTAACAAAAGAAAGGCTATTCCCTCCTGGAAAAACAACAACAACAAACTAACTTCACTACTATGGATCCTTGGACACCATCTGTGGCATAAAATAAAAATGATAAGACCTGTGAAGAAACAAGAGAATTTGGTTCATAGTCAAGGGAAAAATCAGTCAATAGAAACAGATCTATAGACAGCCCAGGTGTTGGAATGATTAAATAAAGATTTGTAAATAACTATAATAAATACGATTTTAAAAAATTTCCAGGAGGAGATGGATATAATAGGTGAAATTGAAGTCCTACAACTGAAAAATACAATAGCTAAACCAAATATTCGCTTGATGGGATTAATAACAGATAGGATACATAGAAGAAAATATCTATGACCACGAGGACAGGGAAAGAGAAACCATTGAAACTGAAGAATAGAGAGAAAAAAATTGACAAGTGAACAGAGCCTCAGTGACTTTGGGGACAGAATTAAGTGGTAAAAGATGTGAGTAATTGGAATTCCAGAGGAGAAGGGAAAGAATGGGACAGAAAAAAATGTTTGAAGAAATATAGATGGATAAATGTCTAAAATTGACAAAACAAACAAACAAAAAAGCAAAACCCCAGCAACTCTCTGGATTGATTTGCTCAAACAATGAATCCACATCTGAAACAGCCTCTGCAATTGTAGTCACCACCTGATTACGTTTATGATGATCCGTAGCCATTCTCCAAGCTCCGTCTCTCTTCTGCACAGGCCACATCGGCAAATTGGATGTGGATGTGGGTTTCCTGGAATTAGTCTCCTGGATTAATGGATCTCATGGAGCTAGTGTTCCAATAGTTCAGAGCCAGTGTCCAATTATCCTCAAAAATCTGTTTATTTTCCTTTACATGCTGGTAAATGCCTGCGGGTCATCTTGGGGAAGACTTGGAGAAAGATTAACAGCACATTTTTGTCAACATAACAGGGTTTCTCCTCATGTGGCATGGCCTCCCCTTCATTTAAGGGCTCCTACATCTATAAATTGGCTCAGGTCTGGGAATCCACTGAGGGGCCATGACTCCCTGTTTTGGTGATTCAAGCCTGACTTCCATTCATGAGACCTATAACTTTTCTGCTTAAACAGATCAAGTAAGAATTTAGTGTGTTTTCCACTGTTTATTTTCTAGAGGTACTTTAATGAACTGGCCAGCACCGCAGGTCTTGGTGAGCCAGACTATCCTGAATACTGCTTTGGCTCTCTTCTCCTTTACAGTAACCATGCCCACCTCATCTTTGGCGATTACACACTACAGTTTGGCCCCCGATACCCCAGGATCCTAGCTGGATATTGTTCCCATGGCAACTAGGAATCTCAGTTCCCAGTGTAATCTCTGATCTGTAGAGAAGGGCACACAGAGCTCTTCAAGGCTACTGGACTTCCCTCATAATCTTCCTCACAGCTGCGGTGAGAGGTCTGTTCTCTGGCGTTGGTGAGCGAGTCTCATGTGACAGATGCATTTTAACATTCCAGAGTCTCCTGAAGTCTTTGGATACCTTCCTCTTCAGCGGATCAAGGAAGTTCTGGCATTTCCACTTCATTTAGTGTAGACTAACTTTTGGTCCATGTTTCAGTCAATCAACCATACCAACTGTTAGAGGCATTCCAAGCCCCTGGACGCGAAACAGTGAATCCACAATCTTTGCTTAGTGGACCTATGTCAATAGACTTGGCTCAATCCAACTTTATGTCCCCTCCATCTTGATCCCTCACCCTTACTATACATCCCCACATCTATTCCCTATATTTTAATCTATGTGTTAGAAGTCTCATGCAGTTCTCTTGGTGTGTATCACACCTCCTCATGGGTCACTCTTTGTGCCTTGTTCTTTGGGGTCTGCATGGAGTCAAATCCAATTATAGGGTTGGTGGGGATGGGTCCTGAGGAGTATTAACATTACCTGGCAAGCAACTACCTCAAAGGACACCAGTACTACTCTTCAGGAAAAGGAAAATGAGCTTTCTTGGGCAGGAGTAGAAGGTGTTTCTACCCCAGAGAATACGGTAATTTAGGGACTCGAGGTCCCAGCTTCATCAGAATCTGCCTGTATGCTCCCATTCCAATTGTCAGGACCCCATTCTTTCCCAACAGATGACTCAACTTTAACAAAAGAGGCCTTGCAAGGATGGGAATTCAATTTGTGTTGTAATTCAGGCAGGATTAGACTTTGGCTTTGGTTTTCAGAAATCTTGACCCTGCAAGAAAATAAGGTTTGTGTTCCTTTCTTTTCTTTTCTTCCTTTTCTTTTCTTTTTTTCCCCAGAAGTCATAGAAGTTCTCAGGTGCTGTATGAAGACCTTGAGCTGGGAATTTAAATCCCTGAGCTCATCATTTTCTTTTTCTAAGTGTTCTAGCACAATTAGCAATACCCAACCAACAAATCCACCCCATTACATTCCTTACTTTGACTAAAATGTTCTAAGGTGGCAAATGCTTGGTCATCCGGAGTCTTGCCTTATGTAGGAACTTTGTCACCCGTGTCTAAGGCTAAAACTTGGGTAACTCACCAGTGCCCTCTTCACCAATGGCAATAGGCTTCTTAGTGCCTTTAAATCTAATCAGATCAGAAAACCAATTCCAGAAAACTCAGAACCAATTCAGAGAACCCATTCTTAGATTCTGCTCCATAGGAGCTATTCTTGGTACGAAATTTTGTATCGGTCAGGGCTCAACCATGGAAGCATATGTGTAAATTCACGTTCAGGATTGCAGGGAATTGGCTCATGCAATTGTGTAAGGCTGTTGTCTCCATGTCTGATGCTGAAGCTTGAAGTAGGTAGGTTACAGGGTAGGTAACCAGGAAAGGACTATGAATGCAAAATAAGGGGAGATCAGGAGTAGCTACAACTCCTAAGCACAAGCTTGAACCCTATGAGGACGGGCTGAAACACACATCATTCTATTGCCTTTGACCTTGGTGGGGAGCATATCCTATAGAGGCTGGAGTGTTTCACCTTGGAGCTAAACACACACACACACACCTGGCTCAGGAGTCAGAGAAGATGAAGGCAAAGGTAGAGCAATTGTAAGCCCAGCTGCTGCTTCATGCCAACAAGGTGGATCAACCCATCAGCAGTGACAAACGTGAACTACAAAATGCTTCCTGCTTCCTTTGTATCTTCTGAATCTCGTGGGAATCTCCCTCATGAGCCACCTTGACTGGAGACATAGTAGAAAGACAATTCTGGGAAATATAGCTCCACCTGGTAAGGTGACTGATTACAAAGCCATCACACATGTGTGCACAGAGCTTCAAAACCATGAAGCAACATCTCCAGAGCTAGAGGGAGAAAAATACATCCCCCTGTTGAAGATTTTTGAACACGTCTTTCTTGGTGATTGATAGAACAGATACACACACACACACAAACAGTAAGGATGTAGAAAATCTGAACACCACCACCAAACAACCCAACGTAGTAGGCATTTATACAACATTGCATCCCCAGAGTACAGAATATACATTCTTTTTAAGTGCACATGGAAACATTCACTAAGATAGATCATATGCTGGCCCATAAACACATCTCAATTAAGTTTCAAAAGACTAAAATCATGGAGAGTATGCTTTTTTGGTCATAATGGAATTAATTTAGAAACCAGTAAACAGTAAATTATCTAGAACATCTCCAAATATTTGGAAATGAGGCAACAACTGAGAACGGGGTCAGAAATCACAAGAGAAATTAGAAAATATTCTCAACTGAATGATAGCGAAAGCACAGTGCTATGGATCTGATGTTTGTGTGTCCCTCCCCCCGCCCCCACCAAGACTCATGTGTTGAAATCCTAACTCCCCATGTGATGGTGTTAGAAGGTGAGGCTTTGGGGAGGTAATTAGGTCATGAGGGTGGAGCCTTTGTGAATGGCATTAATGCCCTTATAAGAGGCCTTGCTTCCTTGCTCTGCTCTCCATCATGTGAGGATACAAGGAGAAGGCAAACCAGGAAGTAAGTCCTCACCAGACACTGGATCTGCTGGCACCTTGATCTTGGACTTCCCATTCTCCAGAACTGTGAGACATACATGTTTAAGTCACCCACTCTATGGTAATTTGTTATAGCAACTGAAGTGACTGAGACATACAACATATGAGAATTTGTGGAATGCAGTTAAAGCAATCTTTAGAGGGAAATTTATAGCTTTTTAAAAAATTTTTTATTTATTTATTTATTTTTGGCTGCGTTGGGTCTTCGTTGCTACGTGCGGGCTTTCTCTAGTTGCGGCGAACGGGGGCTATTCTTCATTGCGGTGCGCGGGCTTCTCATCGAGGTGGCTTTTCTTGTTGCAGAGCATGGGTTCTAGCACGCGGGCTTCAGTAGTTGTGGCAAGTGGGCTCAGTAGTTGTGGCTTGAGGGCTCTAGAGCGTAGGCTCAGTAGTTGTGGTGCACGGGCCTAGTTGCTTCGCGGCATGTAGGATCTTCCCGGACCAGGGCTCGAACCCGTGTCCCCTGCATTGGCAGGCAGATTCTTAACCACTGTGCCATCAGGGAAGTCCCCTCCTGTGATGCTCTTAATGACACTCTGAAATGGACACTGCAGTCCCCTTCAGGGAGGCACAGAGAGGATAAGTAACCTGCCTGAAACCACACAGCCAGGCAGCATCAGATCCAGGATGCAGACCCAGGCTGTTGCCTCCCTCTTATCAACCTCTTGCACCTCCTCTCTGGCTGCCAGAACAGGCAATGCCAGCCCCGGCATTGAAGCTGACATGGAGTGGGTGCCATGTGTTTGGGAGCCCCCCGCGTTCACCGCCCAGTGAGAGGCCCAAGTACTCCCCCAAAACAAAAAAAACCCAAGCAAATAGAAAAAGTACACACACACACACACACACACACACACACACAGCCTCCTTTAATAACCTGTTTCACGACAATTCTCTCACGATGGCAGGAAGTTCTGCTTCAGGTCTAACTTAAATCTCTCACGCTGTGTTTGTAGTGCTCCTTTCTTTGGGTTTTTGTTAAGTTGGAGCTTTCCCAGGTCTGGACGGGAGTTTCTCCTTTAATGGCCCAAGACGCTCTTTCGCCTTGTAAGGGGCAGAGTTTTAGGACGTTGTGTGTACTGATGCGGGGAGCTCCTGGCGCAGCTGTACTCTTCCGTGGCTCTGCCTCATGACAGAACTGAGGTCCCTGAGGAATTTGTCGGGACAGCCCTGGGCCCATGACCTGGCAGGTATGCGCCCAGGTGCCCTGAATACGTCAGCTCTATCTTTCCTTCCATACAGGAGATGCTGAAGGACGAGGTGCGGACGCTCACTTACCGGAATTCCATGTATCACAACAAGCACGTGTTCAAGGACAAGGTCGTACTGGACGTGGGGAGCGGCACTGGGATCCTCTCCATGTTTGCTGCCAAAGCAGGGGCCAAGAAGGTGTTTGGGGTGAGCATGCCACTCCCTCCACTGGCCTCTGCGGGGACGCTTCCTTGCTGGGGTCACACCCTCCAGGCGGAAGTTAGACATAGCTCTCAGGAGGTGGGCAAGCTCCCGGGCTCCCTGTCACCTGGGCATTGCTCCTGGCCTTGTCCTGGAATAGCTGACATTTGTGGAGGACTTTTGACTTTTCTGAAACCATTTTGGTGTCATCATTACCTTAGAGTCCTTAGCCCTACTGTGGGCTGTGGTGGCAGGGCAGGGTGGCTACACTTGTGAGCTGTGGCTGGAATCTCCACTATTCCACTCCCGAGAAGTGTGATCTGGACAATTCATTTCTCTTCTGTACCTCGGTTTCCCCATCTATAAAATGGGCATAATTACAGTACCTTGCCCACGGGGTGACTGTGAGGAGTGAGTGATTTTAATACGTAAGTCAAGTGCTTAGAAAGGCGCCTGGCGTAAGTCAAATGCTCAGTATTTATTAGTATAGTTGGGGCCCCAGGTGGTAACAAGACAGTCTTCTTTCTCTGTTCTTTAAAGGCAAGTTGGTAGATTTAATTCTGCTGTTCTGGCTGCTGCTGCCTCTCCAGCTAGAGGTGGTAGTGGTGGACCTTCTGGGAAGGCTCCCACAATGCAGCTGCACACAGCCTGAGGACAGGGGGCTGGGAGGGTCCGGAGCTGGGAAGAAACTGAAAAAGAAGGGCTCTGAGCTTCCGACTGACATTTGAAAAATGCAGTGGGTCTAGGGCTGGAAAATGGGAATTCATCTTGATCAAAATTCAAGGCACACTGCAGTCAAACAACACACAGCACATGCACAGGACAGCCCAACGCGGAGGCTGACGTGGAGCTTTCAGTGGGGCTTCATTAGCTCGGTCATCCTGCAGCCTGTCCTGAGACGCCCCTGGCTCCCGGTTGACTAGAGCCCTCCAAGTCCCCGTGTCCCCCCATCAGTGCCTGTCCCTAAGCCCCTGGCAGGAACAGCATCCTCCTCCACGCCTGACCCGGAAGGTACCGGGGCCTTGGCTGGAGGGGGTCTCTGGGACACCTGACATGTCTCAAGACACCTCTGTTGTAGCCTTGACTGGGAAAGCTATGATGTACTCACCTGAGGTGCGTGTTGAGGGTACGGGTGCAGCCCGGACGCCCAAGGTCAAGTCTGGCGCTCTTCACGGTACTGTCCCTCCCCACCGGCCAGCCTTCCTTCCTTCACGGGGCCTCCCCTCCAGGAGGGGAGCTTCTGGCCAAGGGACCGACTCCCCTTCCAAGGCGCTCACAGAGCCTCAGGGCAGGACGTACACCCCCTGTAACGCCCCACCCTCCCTCCCAGGGTGTCTCTGAGGCCCCAGCTCAGCTCCGGAATCGGACGGGAGCCCAGGGCTGTGCCAGGCAAGGCAGGGCTGCCCGTCCTTCTCTTCCAGGTGCGGGGCTCCAGCCGTAGGTCTTGGCAGCTGTCCCTCTGTTTCCAGCAACCTGGCCTCCCCGCCTGGCCCAGGCCTCCTAACCCCAGGCTGGTGCTTGGTCTGCTGTTCCCACAAGGTCCTGCTCTCAGCGCATGGTCAGCGAATTTCTCAAATACCTTGGCCCTTTGCTTAGGAGATTTGGGGAGCCTGGAAAGACTTCTAGATTCAAAAGAACCAATTCTTTCAAAGGTGGAGACTGCGGAAGGAATGAGAGTTAACAGGCGTCTGCCCGTGGGGTGGGGAAGGATCTTAAGACGCCCTGAGGCCCTGGACCGTGCCGTTTAACCAGGGAGGGCTGGGGGTGGGAGGATGACCTCAGGGAGGCTCACAGCCACTCTGGGGGTCTCTGCCTCCCACCTCCTCTCCTGGGAGGGCAGTGACTGTGCCAGGAGAGGGAGGCCTGCCAGCCCCTCTCAGATCTCCCAGCTCAGAGACTGGGCCCTCCATGGTGGGGCAAAGGCAGACCAGCGGAAGAGCCCGTGAGTCGGGAGGGCCGCGGGTTAGGTTTTCATCTGCCACGAAATAGCCGTGCAGCTGTGGGCAGGTCACCGCACCGCTCCAGACCTCTGCCCCTCCATCTGTTACGCTGGCCCCGGACATACGGTGATTCTTCCTCCTTTGCTCTGTGTCCTTTCTAGATTGAATGCTCCAGTATTTCTGACTATTCAGAGAAGATCATTAAGGCCAACCACTTGGACAACAGTAAGACTTACCTCTGCGTGCTTTCCCGTGGATGAAAGGGGGTGAGGGGACTTGTACTTTCTTGTCTGGGTGGCAGAGACTGACATAAGAGCGCTTGGCCTTGGAAATGTGGAGGCCAGCTGAGGCCCTTTTAGCAGGACTGTGCCCATGGGGCTCCGAGGGTCGCAATCCCTGCCAGGTCAGCCAAGGGCACGTCTGTCCCAGCTCAGCCTCCAGTGAGCCCAGCCTGAGGCCAAATCCTTTATTTCCAAGCCCTCTGCCTGGCCCCCAGCTGTAGGCATCTGTTGAGTTTTGCAAAATGGCAGCCATTCCTCCAACTCCTCTCTCTCCACGAACCCTAGCCCTACCTCTCTCGACACCCACCTAGTGGCATCCCCCCAGACCCCAGGCTCTTCCTTTGGAGAAATGCAGTCCTCTCACGCTACAGCCCCTGCTGCTGATGGGGCTGTCTTGGCAAGTATGTTGCCCTTGGGAGTGGGACCTTCTTGCAGCTGGAGTCTGAGTATAAAGATATGTGCGTTCGGGCTTCCCTGGTGGCGCAGTGGTTGAGGGTCCGCCTGCCGATGCAGGGGACGCGGG